AATCGTTGTACATTGAACAGTGATTGGTACACGACCATTTGTTTGCCGGAAGTTACAGACAAACTCCGTAAAAATAACTGTATATCATCACGCCATATCATCTTGCACCACGATAATGCCAGTTCTCACACGGTCAGACAGATAAATGAATTTTTGAAGGTGAACAACGCTGAATTTAAGATCCATCCCGCATACAGTCCCGACCTGGCACCTTGTGACTTTTATTTATGTCCAAAAATTAAGAACCAGTTACGCGGTCAACGATTTTCGTCACCTGAAGTGGCTGTCGAAGAATATGAAAAATATGTTTCAGAGATTGTCACGGAAGAGTGGCATAAATATTTTCAATTTAATTGGTTCATTCGTATGAAAAAGTGCATTACCGCTAACGGAGAATATTTTGAGAAATAATAAATTAATTTCTGACCATTTGTAATATTTTTTCTCATTCATTCCGGAAACTTATAATGCACCCCATGCATTATAAAAAAAATAAAATCAGCACTTTCCACGATTTGAGAAACTCGACGCATTTCAACGAAGAAATAGTTTATCATGGATTATTATTTTTATAACAATTTCAAGTTGCAAAAACAAACCTAAAGATATAAGATCCAACATAAAGATATAAGACGAACTGTCAGTATTCTAGCCACCCTGTAACGGGGAACGATACCTATTTAATCTAAAAAAATAAATTTAAATAAACAAAGTTTCATTATTACCCAAGCTATTTCAAACTGTGCATTCGAGTATATCGCACCCTTAATGCAATAAGGTCACATCTGCAAAATTACAACTTTTCAGGAGAGTGGTTTAAAGATTCTACGAACGAAATTAGCCGAGAACTGTTTTATGCTCAAATAGGAGAGTTATAAAATTTCACATAAATATAATTTTGCTTTGTTTTGTTTTTATGACCTTCATGTGATAAAAGCACTTTTGACGCATAATCACGTGTGATTATGGGTCGAAACACAAAACTGCGAATCGGCGCGATGCAAATTCGCAACGCAGAAAACTGCTACGCGAATTGCTGCGATGCGATTTCATGCGGCAAGGCATCTCAAAGCCACGTTTCGGTTGACTATTCCTTCGACGATCGTCAACCGTACTGAACGTATTTTTTAAACTAGGTAGCGACATGGATCGTAAAAAGAGTGTTGAACTGCTTGTTATTGATAAAAAGTAAAGGAAAAAAACACAAAGAAGATTAACATCGCAGGAATGCGCGATGCGGTGCAATTCGCAATTTCTTGCAATGCGTCGTGCGAGCTCGTAGATTTCTGCGATGCGACGTCGCATTGCACTTTTGTGTTTCGACCCTTTGTTACACTAAAGGTATGAAAACAAGTTTAAAAAAGTAAAACCATACATTACTCACAGATGGCGTTACGGCAACAAAGTTGTTACAAAACAAAATCAAAGATCTGCAGCAAAAACATAGGAAAATTCGTGAGATCCTTGATGACTTAGTTGTCATAGCATCTGGCACGATTTGCTGAGAGATCTTGTTTCGAATCCAATCGGATTGAAGTGAATTTTTTAATAAAGTTGTTCAAAACGTGGTAGTTTTCGTACTACAAATCGTGCCGAAAGTCGGATTTTTCGCACTAGTGCTTTTTACTTTTGCATTAATTTTTTGATTTACTGTTGTTTCAAATCTTAAACATAGAACTAAATAGGTTGTATATTTATGTGCTTTGTGACGTAAGTCAATCGTCATTTAAACTTATACCTATTTACTTACAAACATCTTATTTGTTTAAATTGCATAGGTGTCTTATAAATCACCGGTTACATTTAAAAATACCAAAATATTTTCCATAAAGATGGCTGATTGAGTATTAACAATGACCAGAAGTGAGTATTACGCGAGACCGCTGCGCGCCGCGCCACTAAAATATATTGTTTTATTTTACTTTCAATGTAGTTTTTTTCGCAAATATATTAAAAAACGTCGTTTGATACACGTGCGGATTTGTCATTTTTACTTGCCTCGAGACTCCTGAATAATGACTAACTTTTCGCATTTGTATCAAAAATAACTATTTTGTAAGTGTTCAGTATTTGTATTTATAATTATACCAAACTAGTGCAGTAATTTCACAAAAAGTAACTAATACCTGTCACGGTGGTGTGAATCATCCTTACATTCAATAAAACCTTAATTAAAGTAAAACCATTTTTATACAACAATTTCTACTATCAGTACAACAGTAGCAGTAGAGCTCCTCGTGAAAGAGTCGTCCAGGGAAGTACTACCACCTTTCCTATTTCCAGTAATGTGACCATAATTTGTGTCTCGGTTTTGAAGGGTAAGGGTTCTAGTGAAATTATATACACATGGGACTGTCAACTTATGTCTCAGGGTAATGGACGCAGTGGCCGCGGCCCTTCAGATCTTTGCGATTAAAAGCTCTGAGTGGCACTGCAACTTTTATTGACAGGCGTGTCGCTTACCACCAAGCGCACTACTTGTTTGTGTTGTCACATTGTATCATAAAAAAATCCTTTTCTGTAAGGCTACCATATTTCACTCACAATCTCACCTGATGTTAGGATGTTAAAGAGAATGGTAAACGTTCGCATAGAAGTTTCATTCATTCGCTCTGACTTTGCAAATGTCCGAGCTATAACGGTCAAGATGCATTAGAGCATTAAGAAACACTTAAGATCTGATGCCTCCACCGCGTTATGGATAGACGACAATGTACCATGCACTCATTGCATTATAGCTAGTAAACTTGCCGTCTTAGTACAGTCGGGCTAGTCTTCATTGAGAAAGTTTGTGGTTGACAACATCCGTTTTGATTGCGGTGTAGGAAATGGAAAACTACAAACCGCTCAAAAATCAATTTCAAATCATAAATATTAATGTCGAGGCTGAAGGTAACGAAATTCTGTCATTTTTTATTTTTCTTTTTGTTTCAAATACGCCATAAATATCTTTGGTTTCATGTTTACGTTAACTCCGTTTCATCCTTCGATTCAAATTAATTGAAAAAATAAAGCCCTTCGGAAAATTGTTTTAGGCGAAAAAGTACAGTCGGTGCCCTTACATACCGACCTTTTGCTTCTTACGCATTCTACAGAAAAGTGTTAGAGGGATTCCATTTCCTTGGTGGAAATTTGTATCCTGTGTTTAATAATGTACACGTTAAGAATCAAATTGGCTTAAAAGTTTTTAAAACGTCATTCACTAATGGTACAATGTGGAAGTCATAATAAATAGTTTTACGGCTCACAGGTTAAAGATTAAGTTTGTTTAACACTTTTCTTCACATTTATCTCTTCAGCACTAAAAAGTTAGAGGGTCAAGTATCTTAGGGCATTGACTGTACCACCTTCGTCCACATCGCTTTCTATCATATAAGATTGTGGACAAATAAACGTCTTTACTAAAAATAAAAAATAAAATGGTCAAGTATCAAGTTTTCGAGACACATTTATTACACATTGAAAATAAAACTACATTTTTTTCGATTTCACATATAAATATAGTAAATCGAAAAAATTTGGTTTTATTGTATAACGTTTATTTATATTTTTTTTATTACGGTTAATAAAAAAATTATAAACAAGTTATAAAATTATATATGCCTATATTTATTTTTTTCTCCAACAAATAAACGTTTCGATCTTTTGACCTACCCATGAACACGGTTGACTGATGTGGTGTTAGTCGTCAAACAGTTTTGTCGTTAATATAAATCGCCTTATTCTAATTTATTCGAAAAAACAAATGAAAGGTCTACATTTTAACGTTTAGCTATGCAGCTAGTTTATAACCTGGACCTGTGTCCAGGCTGTCGTTTACAATCACACTGAAAATTAAATTACTTTTTCCGGTCACTATATGTTTTCCTAACAAACCAACGTTTTAGGATCTTTAAGGCATTTTTTAATTTCTTATTTTATGGATCAATATACATAAAAGAAAAAAAAATATTTAGTACTTACAAGCATCGCTCACAAAATGCCCTTCCGGTTTTACCAGTGACAAAGGAGTTCAAAGAAATTTAAAAAAATACATAATATGACATTTTTATATAAGTAAATAAGTGCACATTTGACACCTCCATCTTACCTGATGGAAAACGACGATGAGGTCGATGATGTAGCATGCATAATTAAAAATAGTACCTATTCACTGTCGCCTTGAAAAGGCCCAAGTTATAGCGTTCGGGGAACAAGTCTCCAGACAGGGAATTCCACTCCTTTGCCATTAGCCATATACATAAATGTGGAAGCGAAACGCATTGTGGGAATCTTTGAAATACAATATAGGCGTCGAATCCCAACCTACGTCTTGTCCCACGGTTATGGAATGGGGAAGGCGGAATTAATTCATGCAATAAATAATATTGATGCGGTGTTTGATGATTAACATCGAACAGTTATGTCTAATGTTAATATAAATCGCACTATTCTAGTTTGTTTGAAAAAATAAATGAAAGCGATTTTTAATCCTGAAGAATAAAAATTTCCCATTAAAAAAATATAGAACAATAGAATTAAAATGATTTAGAAATGAAAACAATTGTAAAAAATAAAAAGACTTTATTCTTCAATAGAAAATACAACAATATTTAAGATAAAACAATGCTTAAATCTATGTCGAAGAAAAGAAAAAATCCTCAGTAATTTGCTGGTTTTCAGGTTTCACCTTGCAAGTATACCAGTATAGCAAGTAGTATAGTTGATAAATCATTTCTAAATTTCTTGTCTTTAAAATATAGAACATTAATAATTAAATAAATAAAAATCTTCTATTTCCAGACACCATAGGCCCATAGTTTGTTAGTAAGCAACCGTATACTATATTAGTAACAAATGACTGTATGGTGAATTTATGGTGTATTGTATATGAAGTGTACATTAAACTTTTAAAATACATAACATAACATTACATAAACATTAATAATTAATTATTTTTTTTAAATATAACAATTACATTACATTTATTGAAAACGTTATTTGTATTATTTTATTTTCAGGTTCGTGCTTAAGTTACGGACATTCCTGTTGGGGAGGTAAGTATTTATACATTTCAATTTATTATAGATTTGTAAATATTTTTTGTTTTAAGCGAATTAAACGTAGTTATTGTTATTATTATTTTAACAAAGATATGTACATATTACTTATAACCGCATAAGATATTTCAATGACGAATGAGAATCATGAAACCAGTTTGTATTGGTTAAGTTAACGTGATTATTTTAATTTGTCACGATATTACAATGAGCCATGTTATTGGGCACTTTGTGATCGTAAAGTCCACGTGATTGGACAGTTAGAATATCTCACTGTATATAAATGAGATTAAAAGCCATATCGTTGGTTAGTATAGTAATATAGTATCGTTGTTAAAACCACACGATTGGTCAATTTAATTTCTTGTAATATTTCACTCAGGTTAAAGCCATGTCTTTGGCCAATTTGAATTCTTTAAACTTTATTGTCGGTTTGAAATTCTTACAATGTTACACTAAGTTTGAAGTTATTTCATTAGGCCCTAGCAGCCTAATAGTTTGACCTACCGCCTCTCAACCAAAGGCCGTGGCGTGGTTTCGAAACGGAGTTTTTTTGAAATTTAACTTGGAATTTCCCATGAGCGTTCCGGTGAAGGAAATATCGTGATACAACCTCGAAAATTTTTTTGTACGAAATAACCTTTGTTCGAATTTTCATTACACCGAAAACCGAATCGTAACGAAACAGTTGTTCTTTCAGGATATGTTGAATGTTTATCGCAAAAACACAATTAGGTTCGGTTAGGTTAGGTTAAGTTTGGTTTAAAAGAAAAAAACATTTTCCTCTCAAAATTACTTTCGACGTAATGAAAATTCGAGCAAATGTTATTTCTGAAAAATGTCATTTCGGAGTACTGATAGGTAACCCGTGGTGGCCAATGGCCTAAACCAGAGTTTCTCAAAGTGGTCTCTACTAGTGGGCGCTGAAGAGTATATGTGGCACCTCGGGTGCTGACACCTCGGCAACAATAGGGAAACATTGATGCTGTCCCGGGGGTGCTACCAAATTTGAAAAGTAAAAACTTGAAAAATATTAACTGAATGGAATTATTTATTAAATTATTCAGATTTAACTTTATAATATTACTAAGTACTAAGTTTGTGAAACAAGCGCTAGTACAAATGAGTTTGCAAAGATCGGGGGCAGGCTGAAAATCAGTGTTAAGCGACTTCTGCCACTCAATAAATGTTGAGACTGTTCCCAACACACAAATCTTTTAATGTATATATTAATTTCATTTATTTTTGCATTCATAAGTAATCTTTTATGCTTGGTTTTGTTATGAAAGAAAGAAAGAAAGAAAGAAAAAAATTTATTCTGTACCATTCATTTTAAATTGTAGTTACAAAATAAATAAAAACTAAAATTAAGATACTGAATTAAGACACTGTGGCTGAGAACAGCCACGGCGCTGGTATTATGTGGAGCCCATGACGTGCGTCCAAGGCGCACTAAACGAACACCACACACGGTTATATAATTAATGTGTGTGTTAAAAATGGTAAAACTGAGTTACCTATATAAACTACACGACGTATTACGTAAAACGTGGTAAGTGGGCATGAAAACTTTCGCGTCTTGTAACTGGGCGCCAAGGGTGTTGGTGAAATTACAGACACATGGAACTTAACAACTGATGGTTCAGGGTGACGGCCGCATTGCAACGCCCATCAGATCTTTGCCATTTAAAGGTCGAAGTAGCGCTACATCTGTATCATTACACGCATGGCTTATTCGTCCCGTCAGGTATTAAAAAAAAACTGAAAATTATTTTCCCAAATTGGTTCCACCAGGAATCGAACCCAGAACCTCTTCGTCCAGCGCTCACAAAGCAAACCGCCATACCATTGAGGTCGTGTAACACGACTTCTGGTCATGATCCATTTCCCCAGATTTATTTATTCGAGTGTGGGTTACCATTTCATAATGGATCAAATGCTGGTAACAGGGTTGTAGGGCCGCACTGGCTTTGATTAAGGCTTATGAATAATAATTAATAGATATCGAGTTCTTAGGTTTTCGCGATTGTTACACATAGGAAATGAAACTATTTTTCCGTATTTAAATCGCGTATATTTGTTTTTTCAAACAAACCGACGTTTCGGGCCCTTTACAGGTCCCATGGTCACGGTTGACTGAGGTGGTACAGTCTTCAACCAGTTATGTCTAATATTAATGCAAACCACCCTATTTTATCACTATAGTTACAATAGTTATTAATTAAATACCTAATTTTTAATTTTACAAAGAAAACATTCCAATTTACGCTATATTAAGTTTTACAAATTATTTTATTGAATGATTTTTTATTAACTTCAATTTATTATAAGTTTTATTTGTTATAAAAGAAACGTCGGTTTGTTTGAAAAAACAAATATACGCGATTTAAATCCGGAAAAATAGTTTCATTTCCTAATAATTAATAGATTAATTTGCTTAAAATTATGAAAAGCCTTTAGTTAAGTTCATGACAATTGATTAAATTTGAGCTATGGATAGGTATCAATTAAAACAAAGAAATATAGTCTCTATGTTTACGCAAATGCACATGTTTAGATTAAAATTTCGCCTGTCAAACGACATTCTGTTTGTTATAAGAAAAATACTTTAAATGAGCAGTTAGCAAACAGTTATCAAATACGTGAAATATTTTTTAATAAAAAGATGAAATTCCTTGTTTTCTCACTGGTGTGGCGCTACAGCAAAAAGTTGTTAAAACCAAAACAAATTTCGACTCGCTGGCCTGTTCCGTAGGTCAGTTGGCAGTAGACCGCGTAAGACGAAAAAATGTCGATGGTTCTTAGTCAAGTCTAACCGGATCAAAGGAATTTTGAGTTCGTTCAACAGTTGCAGTGTTACTCAGAGCTTTTAATCGCAAAAATATGAGGGGCACTGCCACTGCGCCCGTCATTCTGAGACATAAGTTAACAAGTTTCAGTGCAATATACGTTAAGCATAAAATCATATTGTATTTGTAACATGTTTATGCGATGAAAAAATTTATTTTCTTTCTTTCTTTCTAAGTTCCATATGCATGTAATTACACAAGCACCCTCACCCTTCCAAATCGAAACACAGTAATGCTCACAATACTGCTTGGTGGCATAAATAGGTAAGACGGCAGTACTCCACTGGACACGCACTTTTAGGCCCGCGCGCACCAAGGAAACCCTTTATCGCGGGTGGCATGTAAACACATATACAACCACAAATATTACACCCAAACTCATTAGAGAAATGAATGTAGGCCATACCAATATTTCATTCGGCTCGGGAATCGCACCCGAGGCCTCTGTGTGACAGTCCAGTATGGTAATTGTTCGGTAACGGCAGTTAGGTAAAAAATGTTTCTTTCGCTATGAAATAATCTAAAGTAACACTGTATATGTGAAACATTTTCACATCTAAACCTCTGAACCTTATTGATAAATTTTGGTATAGATATGGATAGGACCTGGAAGAAGGACATAAGCTAGTTTTTGAAACAAAAATAAATCTTAAAGGGGTGACATAGGGGACGAAAATTTGTATGGAGAACCAATAAAACTATAAAAATTAGTACGATACAGTACGCAAGGTACTTATTCTAGGCAGACAAAGCCGCGAGCACCAGCTAGTCATTAATATAAATAAATAATAAATAACGCACACACTCAACATAGCCCCGCACTAGGGAAACCCTGTGTCGCGGGTGCCATGGACACACACATAGACAACCACAAATTACACCCAAACTCACGAGAGAAGTAAATGTAAGCTATACAAACATTTCTCCCGGCCCGGGAATCGAACCTGGGACCTCTGGGTGGCAGTCCGGCATGGTAACCGTTCGGCCACAGAGGCAGTTAAATTAATAATTTCATATATAAGTAATTTTCCGTATTAAAAGTCATGTTACGCATTCGAGGCGGTATTTTTAAAGAATATTGCTTATCTATAAAATTTACTGTAGTGAAATGTAATAAAATATCGGCACCATAAGCCGCGGGATTATAACAAGAGCAATATTCGCGTCGAGAGGCCCCAGTAATCGCAGATAATAAACTAATAGCATTTAAAAACCATCAAGGATTACGTAAAATATATTGAGGGAGTTTTTTCTTAATACGAGTTTACTATTTTGCCACAATTAGTTGAACGAGCGCTTGTGGCAAAAGCACAAAACTCAGAAAATAATAATAAAAAATTAAATTAAATTCTTTTATTTCAGACAACGAACCACAATTTGTTAGCAATAACAATAACAAGAAAAGTGCTTATAAATTAGTGTTAATACATTTTTTTTTTCAAATCATATTCCTCACGAAGCATTGCCACATGGGAGAGGTAACCCTATCAGCTGCAATTTGTAGGATACTTTAGAGGTTGTCCCGCACTCTGCTCATCAGGGATGCTGTCTTTTTCGGAGGATGGCAGCAAAACCATCCGTCACATACTCTGCAAACATCCCCGATACACTGCACAAACGATGCAGTCCCAACATCATCCTAAGAATATTAATCTACTGTACACGTATAGTCTGTCTTTTTTGAAGGAGTGAATAACATTTTTGTAGGGTTGCCAGTTTTCATAAAAATTTTAACAGTTATGTAGTTGTTGTCGATAGTTTTATCGATAAATTGTAAAAGAAGATAAAATTTTGCCAAAAAATTACTGAATTGTGAATGTTAAGACGTTCCAACAATTACTAATACGTTATTGCCTTCTTTATTCTTATTTTGATAGTTGGACTACTAGTATCGAGATCAATTTTTATTGATATACATTTTATTAAGAATAGCCGAATTTGATTATCTATATTGAATTAAAATGAAAAACTTTAAAACATGTCTCCTCTTTGTATTTTTCATAAAAAGAGTTCTAAATATAGTGTATGAATGTATGAACTCACAAAAATAATTGGATGAATAATGAGTCGAGGATGATTCAAATTAAATAAGTTCGGCTATTTATTCCATAAGCGTGACCTATATTCAGTCGATAGTCAATTGAATAT